GAGAGGTCTGGGGACGTGGCAGTGGGGACGTGGCTGGGGTTAGATGTGGGCGTGCAGGGGGCAGAGGAGGGCGCTCACGTGGGGGTGTGCACGATGCTGATGATGCATTTCCTCTGGGGCTGTGTGGGCAGCCACGAGCGAGCCAAGTCCACCAGCAGCCCGGCGTCCAGCAGCCCGTAGCCGTAGTGGTGGCTCACTGTGTGGAGGGGCGTGGTCATCGCCCTGTGGGCGTGGCGTCCCCAACCCCGCCCGTCCTGCCGCACCTTGGCGCCCCACGCCGTTGGTCCTCCAGTCCTCCGCCTGGAGCTGCGCTGGCCTGGACGCCCGGACCACCAGATGCTGCATGTCCCTCCACGTCAAGAACGGGCTGGGGGTGGGTGAGGGAGGGTGAGCCGGGGCCACGCTGGGGAGCTCCGGCAGTAGGCGAGACCCCTCTGTCACCTACTTGGCCTCCAGAGCCAGGGCGATCATGCCCGCAGCCAGCGGGGCGGAGGCTGAGGTGCCCGTGTGCTTGTCCGTGCACCGGTGGTGCAGGTCTGTTGTGACCTGCATGCACAGAGAGGGACTCAGGCGCCTGGTGCACAGGAAAACCCAGCCCTTGTTCAAAACGGCCCAAGTGCTCCAAGGAAGAGGCACCTCAGAGCACGACAGCAGGTCTGGGGCCGTGAACACAGCCGCCCAGCTGCCAGCCCTGCCTGGGAGACACAAGGGCATGTGAAGGGGCGCCAACCATGGGGCCTGGTCCCTGAACCCCAGTCTATGTGTCAGACGTGAACCGGGCAGCCCTGGGAAGAGGCAAGGTAGGGGACAGGAGGGAAGGCAGGGCACCGGGTGGGGCGGGCGCTTACGATTTGGGGGTTGGCAGCAACGCCGCTGCTGTAGGTAGTGGTGAGCGTGGAGGCGCAGGCCTCGCTGTACCAGGGCACGCGGCCCTGCTGGGTGGTGCTGCCCACCGAGAGCGTGTGGATGCTGTTGGTGTAGCCGTCACAGTTGCAGTTGTCATAGTGCAGGCCGCCATTGCCCGACGCCCAGATGAAAAGGGTGCCCAGCCCACCTCGGCCCTGCAGATGGAGAACCAGGCCAGAGACGGGGACAGGGTGTGGGCCTCGCATGCTGGCCCAGGCCCTCCGTGCCCCATACCAGCTCACCTTGGTCACGCCGCGCCTGAAGGCCTCTCGGGTGAGGATGCCCGGGCCGTCCACTGTGCGGCCGTCGTCCTCGGGGCCCCAGCTGGCGCTGTAGATGTGGATGTGCTGCGGCTGCAGGCTCAGCGACTGGGCCTCGATCACGTCAGTGATGGTGCCATCCAGCATGCGCACCCCTGCACAGGCGGCCTTGGTGAACACCCCGCCTGTGCCCCGCACTCTCCCCGCCCTGGGGATGGAGGTGTCTGTGGGGGTTTCAGCTCTCCCCGACCTTAGCCTGGGCCCTGAAATGGCCCAGTGGCTAGTGTGGGGCCAAGAGGCGCCCCGCCACCCTCCTGGCCTGAGTACCTCCGATTCGGGCATTGTAGGCGACGCCAGCACCACAGAACCTGTTGTTTGCTGTCGCTGCCACTTCCCCAGCACAGCGGGTCCCATGCCTGGCGCCAGGACAGAGACAGGTGCCCGTCACAGCCCCTTGGCCCCTCGTAGGGTAGTGCCCCCATGCCCTGTGGGATGCTGGGCTCACCGGTTCTCATCGCTGGATGTGTATCGTGGCTGGGGGTCCGGGTCATGGTCATTGAAGTCGTAGCTGGCTAGGGGGTCCTGGGGGGTGGAGACATGAGGGGCTGCAACCAGCCGTGGGACCTGGGGCAGCCCCCACCCCAGCCCCACAGGCTCACATAGTTGGCCCAGAGGTCTGGGTGGTCCTTCTCGATGCCGTCGTCCAGGACAGAAACCACGATGCCCTGGCCAGAAAGCCCCTGGCTCCAGACCTGCAGGATGTTCAGGTCCGGCTGCACCTCCTTGTTCTGTGCAAGGCGGGGCCGGGGTCAGTGGGGCTCTGGCCTGGCCTGGCCCCGCCGCCCAGCCCGGCCAGCTCACCATGTACCACTGCTTGGAGAACCAGGGGTCCGTGGGCACCACCAAGGAGCGTTTCACCCGCCGCTGCACCGTCTGCTGCTGGAACCACTGCACCTGGGGGTGGGGAGACCACACCGTGGGAGGGGCTGGACCCACGAGCAGCCCACCCTCCTCCCAGCTTCCTGCCCTCACACCAGGCTGCTTTAGAGGGCCCTGCCCCTCAGCCCTTCCACCAGTTCCTGGTCAAAGGGCCCAAATCTGCTTCCAGGGTCTGGCATCGGCCTCTTCCCTGGATCTGCCAAGGGTCAGCGGTGTGGGGCTGAGGTTTAATGTGTCTGGGCTGTCACCTACTTGTCCTGGGGCCCACGTGGTGTGTGATGGGGCCAGGGACCCCGTGTTTGCTGGGGCTGCTCTTGGGGGTCCCCGTGTGCCTGGGGCTCTGCCTCCAGAGGGGACTGAAGCCCTCAGAGCACCCATCCCCTGTGGCCCACAGACATGTGGTGGCTGCTATTCAGGGTGGTTGCGGCTCCTGGGGTCCCACCCCTGCCCCCGTCCCCATCCCTGTTCTAGAATCCCTCTCCCCAAGACATGCCCATATCCCCTTGCAGTATTCACTTCTCTCAACCGCACCCTCCCTGGTGCAGGACACTCCTGTATGGCCACACCCACCTCCTCCCTGGTCTTCCAGCAGCCCTGCCCTGCTGCCTCTCTACAGCCCATTCTTGGCACACTGCAGCCTTACTCTCTGTGGAACCCTCTCTGTGAAACCCGTGCCTGTCCAACACCTCTCCAAAGCCCACAAGGCCCCCTGCCTGTCTGACCCCCAGCAGCCTTCCTCTGCTGCAGCCACAGTGGCTGCCTCACCCCAGGGCCTTTGCACATGCCCTTCTGCCTGACCCAGGCCGCCCTTTCTCAGACCTTTGCCCTTTCCCCTTTTTCCTTGTTCTGCTCCCAATACCCCCCCAACCTGGTTCATGTTCCCCCGTCCCCATCTCAACAATCAGGGCCATCTTCTCCCCGTTTTCTCAGCTCCAGACCCTGATTTCTCTCTGTCCCACACATCCAATCCATCAGCAAGCCCTGGCCTCTGTCCTGCAAACCACGTCTCGAACCAACCACTTCTCTCTGTCCCAGTGCTCCTGGTGGGGTTTCCATCTGTCATGCTTCTTGCCTCCTTACCAATCAGCACCCCCTCCCCCAACCCAGCCTCTTTATGGGGTACCTGGGAACTTTGATCTTTCAGGGTGAGATAGAGGAGGGAAGGGGAGGTGACAAGAAATTGTTGACAGTGCACCTGCCCTGGGGTGAGTGCTCTGCACAGATCTTCCCCATTTGACTCCCCACTGTATGGACTAGGGGGCCAAATGGACACCAAGACTCAGAGAGAGCTGGTGACTTGCCGAAGGTCACACAGACATTTATGACAATTACAAGAATAACGAGAGGTGCTGACATCCCTCAGGAGGCAGCCTCAAGGCCAGGCTCACCTTGGGGTCTTTCTTCAGGCGCAGGCGGTGGCCCCAGTGTGGGGTAAGGGACTGCTGGACCACACCCCGGTGCCGCAGATGGAAATACTGCCCATCAGGGAAGATCTGGGAATAAAGGGGAGCAGCTGCATGGCTGGGACCTGGTTCCCCTGTTGGAGTCCCTCCCAGGACAGGGGCCAGCCCCCCTTCCTTACGTTTCCCCCAACCAGGTGCCCAGGTGGGAGCTTCAGATGCCCTCTGAGGGTCCCAGGATCTGGAGATGGTCTAGGCAGTAGTGAGCTGGGGGGTGCTTGATATCTGGGGAACCTAGCGAGGTACGCTCTCATCTGCCGGGGTCTGGGGTCGTCCAGCCCTCGCCCCCTCCCGTCAGTCCGGGTCCCACCCACCGGCCCCAGGTTGACGAAGCCGAATTTGCGCGCCAGGCGCTCGATTTCCTGGTAACCCTGGGACACCCGCACGGCCCAGCTACTGACATAGATGGGAGCCCGGGGTGAGGCCCACCCCACAGCCATGGGGCCAACGAGTGCCAGGCCCAAGGCCAAGGTCAGGCGCAGCCAGAGCGCACTCCGGGCGGGCCGCATGCCGGCGGGGGCGGGGCCGGGGCCTCAGAAAAGCCCCTCCTCCTGGCCAAACCGCCGAGATGGCCCAAGCGCCCGCCCCGCCCCCGGCGCCATAGCAACCCCTGAAAGCCTTCAACTCCCAGGGGGCCTTGCAGCTCCCCAACTTGATGGACGCGAAGATCCGACAGCAGGGTGGGGGAGAGACATGCCCACCCTGTTCTTCCGCAGACTCGAACCTTCTGGAGCCTCAGTCTCCCCATTTGTACAATGATTCACCAATTCTTCTGACCCAGAGGTGCGGGTTCACTGTTGCTATAATTGACCCCGCCCCTTATTTTGCCCCGCCTACTTTCCTATACACCCCCTCCCCCTAGAATAAGCCTTGCCTCCTCTCCGGTCCAACCAGAATTGCTCTTTCAAATAAGTCCCACCTCCCCATCTTAGCTCCGCCCCATCCCTGCCTTTCAGATTCCGTCCCTCCTCCTTTACGTTCAGCCCCGCCCCCTCTCTGTTTTTGCTAATGAATCTCTTCTCGTTTCTCCAATCAGCTCTGGCCTTTCTCCAGCCCCTCCCACCAGCTCCGCCTCCCCAGCACTCTTCTCTCCTCACCCAGCTCCACCCACAACGGCTCAGCGAATAATCCCCGGCCATGACCCCGCCCCTCCAATCAGTTACGTCCCACTACCGCTGGGCCAATCGGCGCCCTCAGCCCCCGCGCCCCGCCCCCTTCCTCCAAAGGGGCGGCTGCGGCAGCCGCGGCCGGCCCTGGGGCAATGCGGCGGAGGAGACGGGGCAGGCCCCACCTCCTTTGTCCTCCCTGCCCTCCCATTGGCCAGAGAGGGGGACAGGAGGCGGAGACCAGCCCGGGGGCGGAGACCAGCCCGGGGGCGGAGACCAGCCCGGGGGCGGAGAGTGGCCCCGGGGTCCGGCGGTGCGGCTCGCGTGGAGGGAAGGCAGCGCGCAGGCTCTACGGCAGGTGCACGGGGTGGCGGTCAAGTTCAAGCTGCCAGCCCCGGGCCCGCCGGTGCCATGGATGGCCTGCGCCAGCGCTTCGAGCGCTTTCTGGAACAGAGGAATTTGGCCACCGAAGCGCTAGGGGCGCTCGAAGCCAAGACCGGTGTCGACAAGCGGTACTTGGCCGCGGGTGAGACGTCGGGGGGGCTCTCGGGGCCGCCGCCCCATTTCGCCGACGGGCACACTGAGGCCGTGGGCTACCGGGGCCTCGGACCTGCACCATCCGGCCAGCTCCGGCTGCGGGGTCCAGCTCAGGCGAAGGGCGCGCCCACAGTTCAGGAAGGAGACTGAGATCCTGGGTAGGGTCGTGGACCGGGACCTTGGGTCTACCCGCAGCCCCTCCCCGTCCCCGCTGTGCGACCTCGGTCGAGGACCACCCCCTCTCTCGGCCCCGCAGCCGTCCTCTGCTCCCTCCCTCCGGGCCCTGGGTGCCCGCCAGGCAGAAGTCCGGTTCTTCCAGTTGTCCTGCTGGCCCCGTAGGAGGACGGGGCAGGTAGGCAGCCAGTGCCCTGCCAGTCTTGCCACCCTCTTCCCGGATGGACTCCAGCATGGAAGCAAGTGTAGAGATCTTCCCGTTCTCCCAGGGGATGCTCCAGACGTGGAGGGGAAGGGTCACTCCCACCTCCCCTCAGGTTGTTTTCCTGCTAATATCACCCCCTACCCCTGCCCTTGGCCTGCCCTCTCCCCTCCCCCGTCCGGAGTTGGGTTGTTTGACTGCTGTGGTGGGGTTGAAGAAAGGTTGGATGGGGCCCACGGAGAGGGAGGTCCAGCCACCCCGATTGTCACTTCCATTCCAGTCCCTCCTCTGCCTTTCTTCCTCAATGACCTTGGGTGGCCCCTGCCACCCTCTGAAACTGTCCAGTAAGTGTCCCTTAAGTGCCTCCCCTCTTTTTTGGTGCTTCAGACCCGACTGCCCTCTGCCACCTCTTCCAGGAAGCCCCCCTGGAATGAATCACAGGACACTTTGTTCGGACACTGGGGGGCAGCTCTGGCTGAGGACATGCCACGTGTTTTGAGCACCTGTGTACAGATCCTTAGAGTCCCCTTTCCTCCCATTTCCCTGCCAGCTGGGGGATTCCCATGCCAGACAGCCCAAGGAAGGTCCAAAACCTGTCCCCCCAGCTTCCTAGTGCCCAATATGTGTCGGGTCAGCCAGGGACCTGCCCCTGGGAGCAAGCCCTTGACCTCCTGCCTGGTTTTCAACATCCCTGATACCAGTGGGCGGGGAATTTAGGTCATAGAACACAGGGGAGGGGCCTGTTGGGAGGGGCCTGCTGGGTAGGCTGGGGGGTCACAGGGAGGAAACCGAGGCCTGGAGTGGGAGGCTGCCCCTGCTGTCTGCCCTGTCTGGAGCATCCACCCCCACCCCACCCCCGCCCCGTATGCTGCTGATTGGACTGTCCCCGCCCATGTCCAAGGTCATCCTCCCTTTGCTGAGGCTGCAGGAATAGGGATTGAGCGAGAGGGGCCCTGGGAGAGCTGCTTCTCCCCAGCTAGCAGCAATTGCCAGGGAAGGGGTGCCATTTCCCCCACCCCCTCTCCCAGATGTTGGAACCCTTGGGCCCCACCGGCCTGAGACGGCCAAATTACCCCCTCCCAGGTAACCGAGGAGGAAACCCAGAAGAGGCAGTGACCAGGCCTCCTAGGGCCAGCTGGGGATTCCCCTCCCTCTCCTGACCCCAGACCCCCAGGATAAAGGCTAATGCAGGTGGAGGGGAGAGTGGAGGGAACTCTGCCCTTTGGTCCACTAGTGGCCTCTGTCTCTTTCTGCAGATAACAGCCTGGAGGTGGGGGAAGAGGCTGTAAATGCTCCCAGGAGCCAGAGGCTCCCCGAGTGATGAGCATGAGCCTCTTCAGCCACCCCCACCCCCAGCTTCCGTTTCGTCCTGGCTGTTGAATGAGACAGAGCAGGGAGGGACAGAGACCTGCACACAAGAAGCGCTTCATAAATGCAGCAGCAACCATTATGATTTCAGAGTGGCTAACGCTCCTGGCCCCCATCCCCCACACCGTTCTCCTCTGAGCCCTCATTGCTGGGAGTGTGCTTGGGCCACCGGAAGGGGTTCCCTAGACGTGTAGGGCGGGGTCCCTTCTACTGAGTCTTGTTTAGCTAACTCCACAGCAGTGCTAGGAGACAGGGCCACTACCCGCCCCACTGACAGTTGGGGAAACTGAGGCTGCAAGCAGAGAGACACTTGCTAGGTGTCTCATAGTGGGTGAGGGCTCTCCTCAGTCAGGGGGACTCTCAATACGGCGCTTTGCATCCTCCCACTAAGACAAGGGCTCTCAGAGGGGGCCGTGCAGCCCTCAGGAGACACCGGGCGATGTCTGGGGACATCTGATGGTCACGACTGTGGGGGGCTCCTGGCATCAAGTGGGTGGGGACCAGGGATGCTGCTCCACACCCCAGATGCAGTGCCCAGGGTGGTTCCCCCCGCCCCAGAGTCAGCAGTGGTGAGGGGAAGAGACCCTGGACTAAGAAAAAAGTTAGAAATTGTTGCCTTTCTCCGCTCTCCAGGAATCATGTCTTGGTTTTTCTCCCATTTACTTATATTCAAACTCTAGCCTCTTGTGCTCAGCCCCTCCTATAGGACCCAGAGTGAGGTGGTTATAATTGCAGAGATCACATATTCATTCAACAAACACGGGGCAGCCACTCAGTACAGACCAGTCCTAAGGTGCCGGCCTGCCCTTGGGGAGCTCACAGTCCCGTGGTGGAAACTGACATGTTAGTGGGGTTCAGGGCCACGATGAGGGTTGCCCAGGTGCTGCAGGGCAATAACCCCTCCTAGAGGGGCCGCCGAGGCTTCTGGGAGGAGTGATGGATGCAGGCTGCATGGGCCAGGCCAAGGGGGCTCTGGAGACTGGGCTCAGCACGTGCAGCCCACACCCAGCCCCCTCTCCGCAGGAGCCGCCACTCTGCTAAGCCTGTATCTTCTGTTCGGGTACGGGGCGTCTCTGCTGTGCAATCTCATCGGCTTTGCATACCCCGCATATGCTTCGTGAGTGCCCGCTGGTTTGGGGGCGCGGGGAAGGGCGTCTGGGGCTCTGAGCAGCCCCTGACCCTGCCTTGCCTCCCCCAGGATCAAAGCTATCGAGAGCCCAAGCAAAGAGGACGACACTGTGTGGCTTACCTACTGGGTGGTGTACGGCCTGTTTGGGCTGGCCGAGTTCTTCAGCGATCTACTCCTGTCCTGGTTCCCTTTCTACTACGCGGGCAAGGTGGGCACCACCCGGGACACACCGTGGTGGCTGGGGTTCCCAGGAGCGGGTACCCAGGGGTGTCTGACGGGGTAGGCCAGGCCCATCCCCAGGGGTGTCTGACGGGGTAGGCCAGGTCCACCCCAGCCCAGCATCTGATGGAGGAGACCCCCCCAACCCGAGGCACAGAGTGGGGGCCGAGTGTAACTCCTGCCCTGTGTCCGCAGTGCGCCTTCCTGTTGTTCTGCATGGTTCCTGGCCCCTGGAACGGGGCTCACATGCTGTATCATCGCGTCGTACGTCCACTGTTTCTAAAGCATCACGAGGCCGTGGACAGCATCATGAGCGACCTCAGCGGGCGGACCCTGGACGTGGCAGCCGGAATAACGAGGGACAGTGCGTGCTCGCAGGGCGAGGGGTGTCTGTCTCTCCGGTCTCTGTCTGTCTGTCTGTCTCCCGGCTCCCCTTGCCCCACTCACCTTCATTCCTGCCTGCTGTCCTCCTGACTCTGACTGGGCTCTGTCTGGCGTCTGGACCGCCTCTGCTGGGTGCTCGCTAAATCTTCCCCTCTCACTGTCCGCCTCTGTCTCCTATGCTCTCCGGAACCAGTCCTGCAGGCCCTGGCCCGCAGCCGGGCTCTCATCACCCCGGCGGCTGCGGCAGTGGGCCCCTCACTGCCCTCGGAGCCGACTGTACGTAATGCCCGACCCTGGGAGGTAGGGAGGGCCCACACGTGTGTGCGCACGTGCGTGTGTGCATGCGTGTGTGTGTTTGAGTGCCGGCACCTGCCTCTCTCCCTGCCAAGGCCGGCTGTTGGCCACTCAAGTGAAGCTGGCCCCCGGCAGTCCCCAGCAGCCTCTGTCCCAGTCTCCACCGGCTTAGCGCAGCCCTTGGGCCCCTGGACACAGCCAGACCCGCCTCACTCACCCTCAGGGCGCTCTCCCCACAGTCAAAGCAAGCGTGACTCAGCTCCCGAAGAACAGGTGAAGTCCTTGCCCAGCCCCTGTGCAGAAAAGCCGGCCGGCCAGCTGGAGGACGCATTACACTCCAAGTCCTCCGTGGATTCCCCAGCCGCCTCCCCAGTGGAGTCCACCACCAGCCCCTCGTCCCCAAGCAAGCCAGCCCTCAGGAGCTCCACCAACTTGGGCCACTCCCAGCCTCAATCCCCTGCCACTGGCTCTGCCAATGGCACCCAGCTGCCCAGCAAGCTCCGGGGTGGGCTTCTGTCTCGAGCCAACTCCTCCAGCCAGCCCCAGGCCCCAGGGCAGCCCCAGGCTCCCGGGCAGTCCCAGTCCCCCCGACAGCCCCAGGTCCACGACCAGCAGTGCGCCCGGCCCTCCATCACTTCCTCTGGCCCTTCCCAGACGGCCCACCAGTCCTCAGGCTCCACGCAGCGTCCCAGCACCTCCTCCAGCCAGGGACACCCCCTTGTGCAGTCTCCCAGTGGCATCACCATCCCCCCTCTGCCCCCCAACAAGACCCCCGATGGACCAGAGGCCTCAGCCCCCAAGTCCAGCAGACGGCATCAGAAACGGCCCGTAACTAAAGCCACCAGCAGCACCTCGATGCCCAAGCTGCCTGTCTCCTGCCAATCCGAGTCCAGCACTGAAGTCACCTGCATCTGGCCCCACCACAGACACGGATTCCACTACCTGCAGCACTGCTGGCGGCTGAAACACCTGGCCTGATAGGGAGGGCTCAGTAAAGCTCATCTGGACCAGCCTTATCTCACCTTCTGTCCGCTGGGCTCCAAGGAGCGGGGCTTCTTGGGCACAGGGTCTCCTCCAACCAGGGCAGGTGCTGGGCAGCCCCACTTTACAGATGAGAAAACCGAGGTTCAGAATGGAGGTCTCACCAAGTGGCTGAGAAGGACATGAGCCCGGGCAATCCTTGTCCTCACGCTTTCTCTCTCCCCTCCTGGGGTAGCTCTCAGGCCCACTCACCACAATCCCCTTCCTTTTTTTTTGGCTGTGCCGTGCGGCATGCGGGATCTTAGTTCCCTGCCCAGGGATCGAACCCATGCCCCCTGCAGTGGAAGCACAGAGCCTTAACCACTGGACCGCCAGGGAAGTCCCCATAATCCCCTTGTTGTGAAAACTCTTCCAGACAAGCAAGCTAGAGGCAATAGCCCCACCTCACTTGCGTTCCCTCTAGAAGCAGATGGCAGGGCAGGAATTTGAGTACAAGTCCTTTACGTGGGAGGGATCCCAGGAAGAGCCGAGAGGGAGAAGATTGAGGTGGGAGGGGAAAGAAGCCAATAAAGCAGGTGTGGCTAAACCCAGCACACCTGCCAGCCCGTGGCTCTCCCTCCCATGTTGAATGCACACCTGAGACTTATCCTGTCCAGGTCCTGAGGGGCTGGATCCACCACCCTGCCGGTCACTGGGCGGAGCGGTACCCATTCACTCCACCCAGCGCCCCCGCAGGCAGCATAGGGGCCAGGGCCAGGCAGCCTTCAGCAAAGAGGCCCCGGGAGGCTGGCCGTGGACGTCAGCCTGGCCTTCATGGAAACTGGGAGGCGGGAGCTGGGTGGGCACGGACAGGACCTCCTAGGACCTGCCGTTGCTTTCCTTTGTGAGGCCAGCACAACCCTGATTGTAAAAACAGGCAGAGACAGAACAAGTAAGGAATGTGATGCACCTGTCATGTGGATATAGACGCAAAAACATCTAAGCAAAAAATAGCAAATCCAACCCAACAGGATATGAAGAACCAGAACACTCTGCCCCCACTGCCCCGTTCAACTTCATGTCCCCGGAAGCACAGCCTGAGTTGGAAGCTGGGGGGTGGGGGGAGCTGAGTGAAGCAGTGGTGGTGGTGGTGGAGGGGTCTGGAGCTGGTACTGCACCTGGAATCGGCCCCCCTGGAGCCCAGGGGCCTGTGTTTTGTGCCTCCACATCTGTCAGTCACTGGTTTCAGCCCACCCCCGGGAGGGGGCCTTAACCCCACGGGCATCTCCGAGTGGCAGCTACCGTGGCCCAGAGACAAATCTCCCGTGAGGCAGCTGCAGCCACAGCTGGGAGGACACTGTAGCGCCCGTCACATTCCGCCCCCTGCCCGCACACACCCGAGCTCTGCTTCTCCCAGATTCTGGTTGGTGACAACTTCTGGGGCCAACACAAGGGGAGGGTTAGGAGGAGAAACCACGAACCCCGACAGGGCAGTGGCTTTCAAGGCCATAAGTCAGTGGTTCTCAACCGGGGGTGATTCTGTCCCAGGGCCAATGGGCCATATCTGGAGACACTTTTGATTCCTGCCCGAACACATCAGCCAAGTACTGCAATCCTTTGACGTGTCATCCCTCTCCCCACTGAGTGGCCCAGCTTGTCCCCAGCTGGTGGTGACCCTGTCCATCACAGACAGTTTTCCTGAAAAGGAGGCAGCTCTGTGTAGCTGCCAACCTCCTCATCCTTGAGAACACCAGTGAGAGAGGAAGAAGCACGGAGCGAGTGCTACTGGTGAGCAGTGGGTCCAGTTCATTCAATCAGTCATTGCAAAGGCCCCGAGGCAGGACCGTGCCTGTTGGGTTAGAAGAAAAGCAGGCAGGCTGGTGTGGCTGGAACCACATGGGCCAGGGCGAGAGACGAGGTGGGTCTGGGGGGTGGACCACGCAGGTGCCTGCCTGGAAGGTGTGGTGAGGACTTTGGCTGTTACTTGAGAATGTTGGATTTGCTGGGAGGAAAGGATCAAGGGTAATTATTAATGAGCCCCCACCCTGCTGAGAAGTCCGCCTGGGCTCTGGGGACAGTGACCCCTTAATCTGCTTATTGCTGGCCCAGGTGTTTGAAGCAGGTGGTGTGGCCTGGGTCCAGGGCAGGAGACGGGGCCTTGCCCCACCCCCTGTGCCCCTTGAAGATTGTCCTTGGGCCCCGCCCCCCCCAGGTCAGGTCACCTGGGAGCACAGGTGAGCGGACACACACCTGTCTCCCCAGGTGGAAGCAGTGACGTTGACTTAGCCCCTCAGATTTGTTTTGGTTTTAATTTAAATGTACAGAAGAGTGTAACCCGCGACTTGGGGGCAAGTCTCACAACAGGGCCGGCCCCTCCCAGTCACTTCCCCCTCAAGGTAACCCCCATCCTGCCTCCATTGCCTCTGGCCTTGAAGGTCACTTGTGTCATGTCCACAGGGTCTTCTGTCCCCTCCTGCCTGACTCAGACTCACCACGCTGCTGCGGGGATGATTGGTGCATCATTCTTTTTCGTTGGCAGAGAGCATGTCATTCTGTGAGGGCCAGAGAATGATTCAGTCCACTGCTGATGGGTGTTACAGTTGTTTCCAGTGGGGGGCTATTGTGACTAAAGCTGCTAGGAACATTCTAGAAGCAGCCTTTGGTGAGCGGAGCTCTCCTTTGTCTTGGGCGTATACCTGTCAGAGACTGCAGGGTGTAGGGTGAGCCTCTGAGTCTCCTGGGGCTGCTGTAACCAGTCACCACCAACTGGGTAGCTTGGGACAACAGGAATTTTTCCTTTCACCATCCAGAGGCCGGAAGTTCAAGATCAAGGTGTCACAGGGCTGTGCTCCCTCTGGAGGCTCCAGGAGATGGTCCTTCCTGCCTCTTCCAGCTTCTGGGAGCCCCAGGCATCCCTGGGCTTGTGGCTGCATCCCTCCGATCTCTGCCTCTGTCTTCACACGGGTGTCTTCTCTCTGTCTCTCCTCTGTGTGTCTCTTACAAGTCACTTGTCACTGGATTTAGCGTCCATCTGGATACTCCAGAATGATCTTCTTGAGACTCTTAATTACATCCTCAGGGGCTTCCCTGGTGGCGCAGTGGTTGAGAGTCCACCTGCCGATGCAGGGGACCCGAGTTCGTGCCCCGGTCCGGGAAGATCCCACATGCCGCGGAGCGGATGGGCCCGTGAGCCATGGCCGCTGAGCCTGTGCGTCCGGAGCCTGTGCTCCGCAACGGGAGGGGCCACAGCAGTGAGAGGACCGCGTACCGCAAAAACAAAAAACAAACAAACAAAAAAAATTACATCCTCAAAAGTCTGTTTTCCAAATAAAGTTCTGTTCACAGGTTCCAGGCGTTAGGGCGGGGACATGATTATTCAAACTTGTACACAAGTGTGCGTTCAGCTGTAGCAGAAACAGTCAAACTGTTTTCCCAGGTGGTCAAGCCATTGTAACCCTCAACTAACCCTCAGGGTGTGAGACAGCCCAGGGGTTTTCAGCAGCCCTTCAACCGGACTCATGTCCTCCTGTGTGTGAGCCAACTGGTACAGGGTCGGTGAGAGAGAAGCGCAGACAACAGAGGGGTGCTGTCTGCAAAGAATTCAAAACAGTAAGAAAAGCATCGCACCCCCCAGAGCTGGTACTCCACAAGTTTGTTGAATACAATATTTTGTAGGGTTGATGAAAGAACTGTTGTGATTACTATTGTTTTATTAACATAGACACAAGTTTCAAGCTTGCCCGTTTTCATTCTTTATCCTTTAATAAACATCGCTTCCTGCGGGAAGTCCATTTGGGGAATTCCCTGTTCTGGACCCTTGAGGACTCAGCTGTGAGCGCTTCCCTTGAGAAGCAGTTCCGTCTGTAATCACCTGCGGTGTCTTCGGGCAGCAATCCAATCTCTAAACCAAATGGGCCCTGCGCGTTCCTACAGGGACACAGTAAATAATAAAACCCCAGAGCCAGGGATTGTAAAGACACAAAGATGCAGATCTTGAGTCTCTCCGTTTCCGTTGTTGCACCTGGAGTTTTTATTCGTCTTTAAAAGTAAAGCATCAAAGCAGCGTGGAATTTTTGCTGGGCAAGTAAGTGCAAATGCTAGTTCCACCTTCAACTGGGTTGCTGAGTTTGAGTATCTTTAAAATTGCAATGTTTTCTTCTCTCTTTAAATGGTTCCATTGATTGTTTGTTACATGACCATTACCGGAAACAATGTTGCCGCTCGGAGAACGGCATGTGGGAAATCGTGGCTCCTGTGGCCACAGGCCATCCTGTCTGCTAGAGTGGGCCCTGCATTGGCCTCTGCCCCGGCAGGAACCTCACCCCTGCAAAGCGGTCCCGCTAGTTGCGGAGTAGATGGCAGGGTTGCCCCACAGAGCTCCGGGGAAGAAGAGGCCGGAGGCTCCCATTTCCAGACACTGAACACACTCCCACACTGCAGTGAGGCAGAGGGGACCATCTGGGGCCATCGGGGACCTGAAGCCCTTGGGGGCTGCAGGTAACACCTGAAACGCTGAATTCCTTCTCCCCCCCCCGTCCTGCCACCAGGGGGCGCCCAGACCCCACGCCTCCCTCCAGAACTGTGCCCCACTCTGCCCCACGGGAGGGGGCGTTCGGGAGATTGTCCGGCTTCAGCAGGCTTCAGCACTTGTTACAGAAGACAGGGCCAGGCCGGGGCCGCCCCAGGCGCTGCTGGGTCCCAGGCATACAGTAGGTGCTCAATAAATACTCTTTGGAGGAATGCACGAATGAACAGAAGGGCTAGGGAAGGAGTCTGGAAGAGTGAGGTTCCCAAGGTCAGGGCCGGGAGGGGCTGAAAGGGTATACACAGATGGGGAAACTGAGGCCCAGAGAGGGGCAGGGCTTGGCCTGAGGTCACCCCCAAAGTCAGGGGCCGAGTCCATTGAGACTCACATGTCCAGCACCCCTTGCACACTCCCACCATCCCGCGCCCCAGAGGAAGACACAACCACGGATGGTACAGACGAGCAGGTTGTCCCAGATCACGGTGCGAGTCACCCCACGCAGGATGGGGAGGCAGAAGGGGAGGTTTGCTGGGTGACTATGTGACACCCCACTGACACTTCCAATCCACACATGATCTAGGCCTGCCCTCCTGTCCCTAGAATCTATGAGGAGACTACATCCAGGACACATGAGGGCAGGGCACACGCTGAGGGTGGGGGCTCTGACCTGCCTGCTCTGCTCGGGGGTGGGGAGGGGGCCCCCTGAACGGCCTGAGAGGAATATGTGGCCCCAAGGGGCATTGGGAGGGGGCTTGGAACCTCAGAAAGTCCCGCCTTCCCCCATCCTCTTATATTCCCCGTCCTCACGGTTGCCCCAGGGTCAGACACACTGGGGGGAGGTGGGGGCTGGACCAGGAGGAGGGGATGAGGTGCACGTGATTGCGTGTGTACAGGTGGTGACAACGTGGCTGTGGATCTGAGTAACAGGGCATCCTGAAGTGTCTGCAGCCAAGTATGTGAAACTGGGGTGCCCTTGCTAAAAAAAAACTGCTTGTAAAAATTAAATAGGAATAGGGCTTCCCTGGTGGCGCAGTGGTTGAGAGTCCACCTGCCGATGCAGGGGACACAGGTTCGTGCCCCAGTCCGGGAAGATCCCACATGGCGCAGAGCGGCTGGGCCCGTGAGCCATGGCAGCTGAGCCTCTGCGTCCGGAGCCTGTGCTCCGCAACAGGAGAGGCCACAACAGTGGGAGGCCCGCGTACCGCAAAAAAAAAAAAAAAATAAATAGGAATAAAAAAGGGGTGAACAGCAGTGTTGCCTGGAGGGAACCCTCCCGCCTCCCCCCGAATTGCGGAAGCTGTCAAGATTATCTCTGAACTCCCTGGTAGCCAGGGCAAAAGGGGAAACTGGTACGTTACAGTGCCTGGGTAGGCATGTTTACTAGGGGGTCATGCCTGTTTTTAACAGTGTCTCTGAATACGTGAGGGTGCGTGTGTTAAGTGGCAATGAGAAGGGAGAGACAGAGTGTCAGGGGGTTAAAGAGTGGTGAGCTTCCTGGTAGCCAGGGCAAGAGGGGAAATGGATACATTACAAGGTCTCCTTAGGCATGTCTTCATCGGGGTCATGCTTGTGTGTGACAGTGTCTCCCAGCAAATGAGTGTGAGGCAAGGGGAATAAAAGCAGACACAGAGTCTCTGAGAGTAAAATAACTGAGTTTCCAGGGTGAGAGAGAAAATCAGAGCTAAAGAGTCCATTTAGTGTATCCTCCTCACCAGTGCGTGCCTGCTTCCGACAGTGGATCTGACTGAGTGCAGGGGTGTCTGAGTGTGTGTGGTGGGGAGTCACAGAGCTGCAGGTGGGAGATAGTTCTGAGCTCCCTGGAAGCTATGGCAATAGGGGAAATATGCTGACTTTGAGCCTGGTCCAGGGGCTCAGAGGGGGCAGCGTCTGGCGGCCAGGCGCACGCGGCTGTCCTCGGCGGGGCTCCAGGGCCGGGCGTAGCCAGCATGGGGGAGCAGCAGCCAGTCCTGAGTGCCATCGGGGCTGATGAGGCGCCGGGCCGCCAGCAGGTAGTCCCGATGGAGGGCCAGCGGTGGGCAGGGGCAGCGGCTCGGCGCCCACACATACTCGAGGGCCCGCAGTGGCGAGCGGTTCTTGTAGATGAGCTGCACGCGCACCTCATATCGGGTCTCCTGGGCCTGCCGGACGCGGCCCAGCACGCGGGCCCGGAACACTGCGGGCAGGGTGGTGCTGAGCCCAGCTGGACGCTCCGCCCCGGGGCCCATCCACACACCCCTTTCCAGACGAGGGAACTGGGGGTCAGGTGGGGCATTGGGGGCCCCTGGGGACTGTGGTCAGCTGAGGCCTGGGGTAAGGGTCAGCTCAAGGATCAGTGAGGGGTTAGGAGTCAGATTAGGGCAAAGGATTAGATCAGGGAGTCAAATGAGCGTCAGGAGGGGTCAAGCTGGAGTCAGGTCAAGGAGTGAAAGACAAAGTCTGACCAGGGTCAGAGGTCAGCTGGATAAGGGTCAAGTTCATGTCAATTAGGGGCCAGGTGAGGGATGGGGTCATGGGCCTCTCACCAAAGTCGCTGCCGCAATAGTGGAGCAGCCGGTGGGCACGACCGCGGGTGTCAGGGCAGGGTGGGCAGGGGTCTGCGGGGGCAGTGCAGTCAGGGGCACAGGCCTTGCCTCCCTGCTCGCCCCCGCCCAGGCTGTCCCCAGCTCACCTGGGGTGGGGCCTGGGGTCCGTGGGGGGATAACAGTGGGGGCAGCGGGAGACTCAGGGGACTGAGGATCTACCTCCCGAGGCTGCGGCTGCCGCAGGGACCAGCCCTGGGCCTGAGCCTGCGCCTGGAAGGGGCCATAACGCTCCCGGGGGAGCCAGAACTCGAACTCAACGCCGGGGTTGGGCTCCTGCAGGAGGACCTGGGCGGCGGGGGTGGGGGGGGTGTCACATACTAGGGAGCTGCCCTCGGACCTGATGGCCCAGCGTCCCCCAACACACACTCTACCCCGCCCCCCCCCCCCGCCCCGCCCCGCCCCCTGCTTCCCAACGGATTCTTTAACCCCACACTCCCAGACGCCCTCTCAGAGGCCCGCCCCCACCTGCAGGAGCAGGTCTTCGGAGGTGGGCCCGGCGGCGCGCAGCGTCTCCTCTGATCCTGTGACGCGGGTGTAGACCACGCGGGTGCCCGCTGCCTCGTAGGTCCCGGGAGGGCTGACCGCCCAGTTCCCGTTGAACACGTAGCGCCCGTCGCCCCCCATCAGCGCTGCAAGGGAAGGGTCAGCCCGGGCTTCCCGGAAGCGGCCCCGCCCGCCTCCCGACCCTGTCGCCCCCCTCCCCGCTGGATTCGGGCAGCCAGCAGGGCGCCTCCTCTCTCGGACCCTGTGATACCCAGGTGGTTCCGGCTCCGGTGGGCGGCGCGGATGTGCCTGGCGCCCTCAGGAATCAGCGTCACGTTCCAGTACCCAGCGAAGGCACCTGGGCGGGAGGGAAGGACGGCGTTGGGGAGCAGGTGGGGTGTATTTGAAGGATGATTTGAGGATTAAGTGAGATACTGCGGTAAGAAGGTTAGCCAACGCCCTGGTACTTCGAAAACGCTTCCTAAAGGATTGGAGTTACGATGATTATCACTTAAGTGCGGCAGCAAAGGAGTTAAACCCCGTCTGCTCTGGGAAGGGCGGGACAATCTGGCAATGACCAATCAGAACGATGAACGAGGGGGGGACTGAGCAATAACCAATCAGAACGTTGAGCGAGGAGGGCTGGGCCGCAGACTGCCCAATCAGCGCGGGACGTCTTAAAGGGCCCGCTCTGGGAGAGCGCGAGGACGGGGAGGGCGGTCACCGGCATCCCGGAATACGCGCTGCACGAAGAGGCACGAGTTGTTGGCGCCGCCGCAGCGACCGCAGCGGTCTTCGCGGGCATCCGAGCCCAGCAAACCGTCACAGCCGGCTCTCTAAAGGGGTGGGGAGGGCACGCGCGCCGTCAGACGGGCCCTGCCGTCGAGGGGGCGGGGCCCATGGAAGAAGACAGGACCAAGAACTAAAAGGATGGAACCTGGGGGGCGGGCCCTAGTGGGAGGAGGCTGGGGATGAGGCCTAGTGATAGGTGGGGCAGGGGAGGTCGGAGACTCGGTAGGGGGCGGGGCCTAGGGAAGAGGGCGGGACCAGGAATTTAGCGAATGGGGTCTGGGTGCGGGGCCTGGAGGGAATAGGCCGGGTGGAACCTAGAAGGGGCAGGGATGGGGGCGGGGCCTGGAGTTCTTACGAGGCAGCGGCCAGCCACGCAGAGTCCCTGGGTGCCCGGGCTGCAGGGGGTACCGTCCAGCACGCGGCCGAAGCTGTGATAGAAGTCGTGCCCCTCCGCCAGGCAGTTGAGGTCGCACTGGTTGGGTGCTGGGGATGGGAGGAGTCGGTGGCAGTGGGGGACATATCTGAGTTCCAGCCCCCTTCCTGCCAGTCTCCCCTCAGGCAGCCATCCTCTTGGGCAGATGAGGCCCAGAGACTCAGCCAAAGCCACACATGGAGGCTGAGGCAGAGCCAGGACTGGAACTTAGGCATTCTGCTTCCCGTTCGCTGGGACTGTCCCAGGCAAGTATCCTGGGCCTGCACTCATTCATTCATTCATTCATTCATGTTCAGTCCTAATATTAGGGGCCTACTATTAACATCATCACCCATTCTTCACTCATTCTTCCATACGTTCATTCCACAAACACTCATCGAGCACCTACTATTTTCCAGACAATGTTCTAGGCTCTGGGGCACTGAGGTGGGCAGAACACACTCGGCACTTGGGCTCTGCACCCAGAAGGTGCCCCCAAAAAGGTTTTGGCCAGTTCTGACTGAGTCCTGCATAGCCTGGGTATGTTGCTGGCCCTCCCCGGGACTCAGTTTTCCCCTCTGCCTGGCAGTGGGGCATAATGGACAGTCTGACCACACCCGAGGCCCACAGACCTGATCCCTGCTCCCCCTGCTCAGGCTCCCTCTGGCTCCCGATGCCCTGAGGCTGGCTGACAGACCCAGCCTGGAATACAGCCTGAGCTGGCCCTGGCGGGCCTTTGTGGGGGTGAAATCATGGCAAGTTTCCGCCAATTCTTAGGGTGAAGGAAATAAAAATCTGTGAGGTTGACGGTTGGAACTTTCTCCATTCTAGGATTTTCTTATCTGTGTCTACCCCCACCGTGGCGTCTGAAGCTGCCTGTTTCCCTTAAATCTGGAGGCGCACTGCCCCAGGCACACAATTATATAACTCGCTATTTTCAGCTCAGTGCGGCAATATTTCCTGCTACTGGTGTAAGTTTGAGAAATGTTGGCCTCTGGATACAGCTCCCAGTAAATCCTCAGCTTCGTGTTCGACCCTGTGCAGAATAGACCCTGCCTCCTTCTGCCCCTCTTCACAACTCACACTTGCTTTCCACCCTTCACTTCACTAACTCCTACATATCCCTGAAAGCCCCAGTGCCAATGCCCCCTTCTTGCACCCCTCCAAGTCCCCCTTCCTTCTTAGCAGCTACTTTTCCCTGCCAGCTCTGAGGGAGCTGGACTAACAGGAGCATAGGCTACTCACCACCATAGAAGGGCACCCATTGGTAGGTCTTCTGGGTGCCCAGGACAGGGTGGCCATTGTAGAGGGCGCATTGGAGGTCTCGGAAGGGCACGGCCCCTGGGGGACATTCCTGGGGACACAGATCGGTGGAGCAGAGGCTGGGACAGCCCCGGGGATGCCCAGAGAATCTGGCATGGTGGCAAGGATATTTGGGGGCATGAGTAGGGAAGCAGGAGGGCTCCAGGGAGAACTCAGTCTCGGGGGTGGTTGGATAGAACTTACGGGCAGCTGGCAGAGGCGGTACTCGTGGGTGTCCCCCCAGCACAGCTCTTCCCTGGGAAACCTTCGAGGAGCAGGGTGGCCAGACTGCGGTCAGCACCTCCAGAAACCCTTCCCCAGAGCCAGCCTGCCCACCCATCCACCCCCGCTAACCCCACCCACATTCCAGCTGGATTAGCGGGATTAAAAGGCACAGCTTGTGTGGGCAGGTCGAGGGTGCGGCCAGGGGCTGGTCCAGCCTGACAAGAGAGGAGGGGCAGGGACCCCCTCCCATCCCACCCAGCCGGGTCCCAGGAGCCTCCTCACCGGATGCATTGCCGGCTGCGCACGGAGAGCCCTCGCCCGCAAGAGCTAGAACAGCGGCTCCAGGAACCCCATGGAGTCCACTCACCCGGACCCTACTTGGGGAGACAGAGGCAGAGTCAGCCTGGAAGGGAGGCTGGTGACCCCCACACTGCCAGCTGGGTTCCCATGCCCACTGCCCCCTGGGCTCATGTCCCCCTTTACCTGAGCGTTGCCCCCCAAACCACAGTTCAGGAGGGTCCACAGCAGGAGCAGGAGGTTCTGGAGGGGGTGGGGTCTGGGGGACAGGAGGGGGCGCAGCAGTGGGGGGGCCAGCAGGCCAGGGGTTGCACCCCAGCTCTTCCCTGACTGGCTGTGTGATTTTGGACAGTATCTCAACCTCTCTGAGCCTCCCTTCTCATCTCTGAAAAATGAAGTCATAATAGAGCCCACCTAACAGGAGAGTTTTGAGGGGTTCGTCAAATTAGGTGAGGAAAACGGGGACCACAGAGCCCGGTCTGGAGAGAGAAAACTCAAGTAATTATTATTGGTTGTTTACTGTCTATGATGCACGTAGTAGGTGGAAGGAATCATTCCAGGAGCGTGCACAGGTGTCTCCAGGGTCCTAAGGCCCTCCCCAATCTCCCCACCATCTTTGCTCCTACCTTCCGGTGTGGCCAGGGGCCAGGTGCTCCTCTTCCTCCCGCCTCAGTTTCCCCATCTGTGCAGTGGGGACCAGCTGGGCACAGTCCAGGACTCTATGGGACCTTGCAGAGGGTGTGGCTGGTGGTGGCTGGGTCTGGTGCCTGGCAGAGGTCCCCCCACCCCACGCCCGGGCGGGCCCCAGCCTCCAGGGCCCCCTCAGCTCCCAGACCTGCAGCAGCCAGGAGCTCCCGGATGGGGGGCGGGACGGGGCAGGGTGACCTGGCCCCGGTCCAGTGGGTGCCTCATAGCCTCATGTGAAGAGGGTGTGGGATGGAGCCCCAGAGCCGCCTGCAGAGGGAAAGGGGCTGCCAATGAGGATAACCCAGGGAAGAGGGAGGCGGCTGTGTGGGGGCGGGGGAGAGGGTGGCTGGGAGGCTTTGCCTCCCTGGGCCTCAGTTTCCCCATCTGTCAGGGGAAGAATGAAGTCACTTGCCATCCCCACCCTCCCCATGACCATGGCATTGGTGGAGAAAGTGGCGGGCTAGGGCCAGGGAGCCCAGCGGTCAGCAGTGCCCAAAGGACACGCAGGCCATGCTGGAGGGCTCCAGTCCTGGAGGTCCCGGGCAGCGGATGGGGGAAGGCAGGGCCCCACTGTATGTTCTCGAGCAGCAGTGTCCCTGGTTATCAGGCTCTCCTGGCTCTGACATTCAAACCTGGGGCACCAAGGGTCTGGGGCCAAGGTGGCTCCAGATGCTGAGAACCTGGGGGACCACGGGGTGGGTCTCCCCCCTCTGACCAGAGCTGTGAGGCTGGCTGCATCTCTGAACCCCAGCCCTGGCTGGCCCAGGAAGCAGGAAGAAGTCCGGGTTGGAGAGCAGAGGTAGGGGGAGGGGGCTTGACCCTCGGACACCCGCTCCCCTCTTAGCACTGGCTTGTGGGGTGGGGGTCTAGGTGATGCAAAATGAGGGGCTTGAGGGATCACCATTCCCACTCTCCAGAGCCCCCTGCCCGAGGAGCAGGACACACCCCCCGTTTAGGCTGCAGTCCTGACTCTCGGTGTGATCTCAGGGCAAGCCACGCCTCTGGACCTCAGTTTCCCAAGTAGGAAGTGGGGATGAGCTTTCTCCCACCCTGGGGATTGCTGCCTCGTCACCCTCCAGCTTAGGGACGGGGAGAAGACTCCGGCCGGGATAGTGGGGGGATAGGAAGAGGGACTTACCGGCTACGTAGAGCCCAGGCGGCGCGTCCAGGTTCCCCGGGCTGCCCGTGGGCGAGCGGAAGCCGCGAGGCCCGCGAGGAGGGGCGGGGGGAACCCGGGACGGCCCCTCCCACCCGGCCTCCCAGGGCGCGCCCCGGCCGGGGTCCAGAGGGGCGGCGGCGCCGTGCGCCCCCGCGCGGCCGTTGCGCGCCTGGGCGCCGATCTGCGGCAGGGGACTGCTCCGCACGCGCCGCGGCCCCCCAGAACTGCGGCCTGGTGTCCGACCGTCCGCGCCCCGGTGACCTTGGGAAGCCCAGGGCGGGGGAGCCACGCGGGGACTGACCGCCCTTACCCCCACCTCGGGGCTGCTATTCCGGGCGCCGCGCTCAGGGCCCGGGAATGTGAGCGAACCGAGGTCGCCCTGTTGAGGCTCCAGGAGGGCGCTACCCTCTCCCCACCGACGCCCAGATCGCGTCCCCACGAAGGTTCCCTTTCCTGGCCACTACCCCTCCCCAAATCCCTCTCCCTACCCCTCCCTCAAAGTCACCCTACTCAGGAACCCGCGCGCCTGGGTTCCCGCCCCAGGTCCCGACCACCCCCAGCGCAGGGCCCCAGAGCACTGGGGGGAAGCTCAGTCCCAGGGGCCTGGCGTGGGGGGCGGAGAGCCCCCTCCCAGCCCGGCGCATTCCCGGGCACTGCTGTCACCAGAGGACGCGCCCCACCCCGCCTCCCGCCCTCCCTGCCCGGCCCCAGGCTGCAAGCCGTGGCTTCGCAGCTAGACCCGGGTCCAGAAGGTCCCCCTCCCACGCGACTGTGGCCCCACCCTCCCCGACCTCAAGTTCCCCATCCGGGCAATGGGGCCGGCGGGGGTCTCCACAGCGACAATTCCAGGTGGATCTCAGCTCTTTGCGCAGACGGGCAAGGACAGGGTTACCCCAGGGTTCCCCACCACCAGACCTTTCCCCGGTTTAGCATCTGGGCGCCCCCCCACCCCTCATCCCCCGCCCAAGTAGGGACGCAGCAGGCCCCCTCCGCTCGCCCCCTCCCCTGGCTCCTCGCTGTGGCCCCAGGATGCTGCCTGGCGAGCGGGTTGAGGAGATGGGGGCACCAAGGGGGGGCGTTGGGTGGACAGCTCTTCTGCTCCCTGGGCTCGGCCCAGGCTCAGCTTGAGTGCCCCCTTCTCCCGGGAGCCCGCAGTGGGGTGTTCCAGCCCCGACCACAGGGAGGGTGTACCGCCGGTCCAGCTCTGTCTGTCCTCCAGCCTGGAGCAGCTCAAGGCAGGGCCATCCAACGCCGTTCATTCGTCCAACACTTACTGAGCATTTACTTTGTGCCGCTACAGCTGTGAATCCGGCTAGTGAGGGGAGACAGTGCCCTACGAGAGCACCATGGTACCTTCCCATCAGGACGTTCCGCAGAGATAGCCCAAGCCCACGGCAGATGGGGTGGGGGGGCAGGAAGGCCCTCACGCAGGTGGTCATTGCCGAAGGGAGGTGGGGGAAGGGCAGCCCAGTCTGCCTGGAACAGCACATGCAAAGGCCCTGAGGCTGGAAAAGGGAATAAGGGACAGTGGGAAGGTTGGGGTGGGTGGAGCCAGTAGCCAGCCTGGGGGTGGGATGTGGTCAGAGAGGGGCCAGAGGGATGGCAGCCCTGGGAGGTGGGAAGGGGTGCTCTGGTTTGGGAACAGCTGCCTCTGGCTGTCATGGGGGCAGGACAGGGGACCTGGAAAGCAGTGGGGAGGCAGTGGCAGGCATGCTGGGGTCAGGGGCTGGGCTGGGGGCGTGGGGGGTGGAGAGGGCACTGGGCAGCTCCCAGCTGTTTGGAGTGGAGTGTGCAGGCCTTGGGACAGATCCCACGGGGGAGGCACTGGGAGGAGGCAGGTGGGAGCTTGGGCTGAGCAGCCAGTGAGGGGAGGCGCCCCATTCCCTGCGGGGGAGGGAGAGGCACAAGTCCGGAGGTCACCTGAGGATGGGTCTAGGGTGAGGCAAGGAGAGCTGGGAGTCCAAGGGCCGCGTCTGGCTGGGGATGGACATGTGGGCATCATCTGCACACAGGGGTGTTTAGAGTCATCGATGAGGTCATGGGGTGAGAGTGTGGACAGAACAGAGACTGGGGCCTGAGTGTCAGAGGCTGAGGTGGGCATGGGGTCCCCCAAGGTCGCAAGAGGATGGGCTTCCAAGAGGAGGAGGGGCAGCCTGAGTGGGTAAGATGAGGCTAGAGCATGGACCAGTGGCCAGCGGATCGGCATCAATGAAGGCAGTGACCTTGACAAGGTTCAGCCTGGGGGAACAAGGCTCGAGAGAGGATAGCAGGAGAGAGAGGGGGATGGTGAGGGCAGGCACCCTCTGCAGAGCAGCTACTGTGTGCTGAGCTGGGACCTCGGGCCTGGGCGGCATCAGAGAGAAATCAGGCTTGGCCAGGAGTGCCACCAAGTGGACAATCTCATCCCCCGCACCCCCACCCCCATGTGCCTTATGCCCCAAGCCCCAGTCCACCACGCTATGCAGGGTGTGCATACAGCAGGCAGTGTACCCTGCAAGGAGTGTATATACCAGGCATTGTGATCTGCAAAGAATGCATACAGCAGGCGCTGTGTCCTGCACGGAGCATATACAGCAGGCATTATGCTTTGCAGGCAATGTATGCAGCAGTCCCTGCATCCTAGACATGCACACAGTAGACACTTGGCCCTGCAGGGAGTGTATACAGTAGGTACTGCACCCTGCAAGGAGTGCATTTAGTAGACACTGACCCTCCCAAGGAGTGTATACAACAGTCAATGTAGCCTATGGAAAGTGTATACAGAAGCCACCGCACCCTGCAGGGAGGGTATGCAGAAGGCACTAAGTCCCACAAGGAGTGCATGCAGCAGGCACCACGCTCTACAGAGAATGTCTACAGCAGGCATTGCACTCTGCAGGGAGCGCATACAGCAGTCCCTGTGCCCCGCATGGGGGCCCTAATGCTTATGGGATGGCCAGATGGGGCTGGGGTGAAGGTGTGGAGTCCTGTACCCACCCATGCCCCCTCTCCCCAGTCTTTGTCGCCCTGCAGATCTCCAGCCTCCCATCCCCATGCAGGAGCTAACTCAGCTGGATTCAGCAGATCCCCAGAGGAGGCAGAGAGCTCGGCTCGAAATACCTGCTGCAGGTGGAGGGGTGGTTGTGAGGTTTGGAGGCTCCAGGTGCGGCGGCATCTCACCCCCACCCCCCCGCAACTCATGCCCTGGTCTGAACTCAGGCCCAGGGGTCGGCAGGGTCCCCCTACGCTGAGCTCCAGCCTGGACCACATCCCTGACGCTGGGCCTGGACAGGATCAGGCCAAGTGGACACGAGTCCTGATGGATGTGGGTCAGCCTAGGCTCCCTCTGTGGTCTCACAGCCTTGAGCCTCCCCCTGCCCCCATCCCCAACTCCCTATGGCCTCCCACGATCCCTCAGGCCTGGGCACGTGGTCCACAGGATACTCCAGTCTCCTGTGTAGATGGGGTGGGAGGGGTCCTGCAACCCCAGAACCCGGGTCTCTGGAGCTGCCCAGCTGTCCCTGGGCATGAGCATGAATAGAGCAGGATCGGGGACCCACCATGGCCAGGGTCGCCCATGTGAGCTGGGATGGTAGTTTTCTCCACCACAGGAGAAGCCAACAGAAGCAGGAAGCAGAAAGGGCGAGATTTCTGAGACGGTTGTTTCAGTCCCTGGATCAAGCTGCACCTGAAGCTATCCATCCATTATTTTTCACTTTAGCAATTTGGAGTTTCTGTGACTTGTTATCAGGAGGTCCTCTCAAATAGGGAACAACGTTTTTTTCATCACCCTCACCCCCCTGGACAGGTCCTGTTTCTTAGGTCACTGATCCTGTGATGGAGTATTTCACCTGTACACATCACCACCACCTTGGAGGCCTCCATATCTGATGTGACACCCCCAGCTGCCCCCGTGAGAGGAATCCTCACCCCCACCTCATGGGTCAGGATGCTGGGGGGGCAGAGGGGCAGAGTCACACGCAGTGACACTTGGAGGGCCTGGGATAGCTTCACAGTCACATCCGAATGGGTGTCCTGAGCTCCTTTTGAGGCAGGGGGCTGGAGGGACTTGCCTGAGTGGGGAGATGCTTGAGGCAGGACCTGGAGAATGAAGGGGAACCGGACGGAAGAGGGTGTGGGGGAGAGGGTGTTCCTGGCAGATGGAACAGCACGTGCA